GGGAGGAAAGAGTAAACTTTTTTCAACCTTCTGTCAAATGGTTCAGAGAAAAAGTAGATATGCATGCACATTATGAGAATGTAGAGCAAATAAATGCCAATGGTAATGTCAATAAATGGTGAATTTGGGTGAATATAAAGGAATTCTTCGAACTTCTAACTTCAGTTAGAGAAAAGCAGTATCAATGCCTCCTCTCCTCCAAAAAAAAAAAAACAAAGCTACCTAGAGTGTGACTTTAGAAGACTCACTGTAGAAACCTGTAATTTAAAAAACAGTAAAATAAAAAAGGGGTCCGGAATAGGAGGGGGAAACAGAATGTGTGGCTAATTGCCTCCATGAACAACTGTCTCCTCTGCCATGAGACTCGATGAACCAGATGGTGCCTGGCTATCATTACTGAACATTTTGATCAGACTCCATAGAAGAATCCTGATTCAAACGGGGAAAATGCAGAACTCCAAATTCTCATGGACTCCAGATTTTCTGGGGCCATGGAGGCTGGATGAACCATCAAAATTACTGCCCCGAGATAATCTTTAAACCTAAACCAAAAACATCGTCTAAAGTCTTAAAACCAAACAAGTTTAAACTAGTTTTAAAAAAAGTCTGCCTTAAGCTTTATGCTCTTTTAAGAGCTACCTCCACAGGATCAAACTGACAATAGAACTTGAAAGATTAGATAGGAACCTTAGAGGGCAATGAGTTTTACGTTAACAGGGGAAGAACAACTTAGAAAAGGATGGTGAGAATGGTTACACAAGTTGAAAAATGTAATCAATATCACTGAATTGTACATATAGAAACTGAATTGGTGTACGTTATGCTGTGTCTATTCTCAACAACAAAATTATTAAAAAATTTTAAAGTTCACTATTGTTGGCAAAGAAAATTCTTCTAACGGCTCTCTAAAACCACCTTGTTCTTTTCTCCACCCCTTACACTTTGACAGGCTCCAGTCACCATACCCTATTTTCTGCTCCTATTTATGACCCTGCAGCCTTTACTACTGTGTTTCTTCTAACTCAAATGTTCTTATCTTCAAATGGCTGACTCAGTCTATCATCATTTTTTAGTTTAAAAATTATCTTCATTGAAAGATCAATCTCACTTGAAATAGTCTAAAGAGGTAGTCTTTGGTATTTAAAAGCCTTTAGAAGGACTTCCACGGACTAGGTCATAGCTTGGCCTCTTGTTCCCCAACCAACGCTTCAAATGTGCTCAGGATCAGGACTCTTTGTTCGTCCACCTCAAACTGCTCTCCCCTCAGAGTCTCCTCCTTTCACTCTGCAGATTCCTGCTCATCTCAGCTAAAAACACTCACTTCCTCACACAAGTTTTGAGCCTATTAGAAAAAACTATTTTACCACTCCATGAAAAACTTGTTAGAGCCACCATTGCCTAACTTTGTTATGAATGAAAAATTACACACATTAAGGAATACTAATACCATTAATCCTGGATATGAGATGTTAACTTTCTGCACTTATAATCAATTATTCCTAGTTTCTTCTTCCTTTTAGTGTTTTAAGTTTAAAACCTATGAAGAACTAAAAGACTAAAGTACTGCTTTTATTTTAAGGAACACTTTATCCTTAGTTTCAAAGCAATAAAACTCAAAACAAATATGAGATTTGCAAAAGTTACAAAGAAACCTGCAATTTCTACAATGAAAATAACACAATTGGATTAAGGGTCTATTTCCTCCTGGCAATTTATATTTCTAAACTGTTATGCTCCATTTCTCATTTTTATTTTCTTAGAATTAGTTGATAATATAATTGTTTTAAAACTGCAAAACCTAAAGTACAGTGTATTGCCAGTGAAACGGAAGAAAAACAAGATACAAAGTATGCTGTAATTTTTGAAAATATAATTAACTGGATGTATCAATTAAAATCCTCACGGATAAACACTTGTTCTTAAATAATTTCACATTCCAACAAGGATGTTATCATTTATCTTAAGTCACTTAAGCGATCCTTAATCAGTTCAAGACCTTAACTGTTTATCCAGGTTATATTTTAATGTCTAGATTTTTAAATGAATATACAAAATCACTAGTATACATTTCTAAGTTAATTTCAGTATTATTTCATTTACATTTATTGTTCAGCTATTCGACTTAATACTTTAAGTAGCAAATTACCTAAATTACAAACACATTTTCAGAACAAAATGGAGCTCATAGTTACTAAAGTATATATACAGTGCAGATGTGTAAAAACTTAAGCAGCATATGTATATATCTTTTCTAAAGTTCCAAAAAATACTGTATGCTTTTCTAAACTACCAATCTATTCTGTATACTTAGTTAGTTTATCTAGTCAAAAATACAAAGACTAAAATTTTATAGGACTACCCCACAAAAATGGACTCAAATTTTAAACCAAGTCCTGAAACCAAAGCATTCAAAGAATATTTGAATACTGTTGTTGTTAGGTGCCTTTAGTCAATTTCGAATGACAACAACCCCATGTGACAGAGTATAACTGCACCATAGGGTTTTCTAGGCAATAATCTTTATAGGAGCAGATAGCTCTTTCCCAGGTCTTTCTCCCACAGACACACTGGGTGGATCAAATCACCAACCCTTTGGTTAGCAGCCTAGCACTTAACCGTTGCACCACCAGGTCTCCTATTTGAATATTAAAGTTTAATATTTCTATACAATGCAGTAAGGTTATCAAACAATAGCTCTAAGGTACTCTTTATTTTTAGTAACAGGAATGGCCCACAACTCAGATAAACCCACACATTTATACTGTCTTATAAGCAGCAGCAATACGAACACACCATTAATTCCATTATCTTATGGTAAGTACCATACGTCACTTTATCATTAACCTATTCACAAAAGAAGAAAAATATTTTTATCAAAGTTAATGTTTCCTTTTCATATTTGTTGTTAAATGAACTAGAGGAAATACAGGTAGAATCCCATTTTTCTTAAGTATCATTCTGTAAGCCAATTCCACATATTCTTATTATAGAAATATTAATATTTCATTAAACAAGGTAAAAGAGTTGAAAAATTACATAAATACAACTTTTCAATAACCATGTTAAACTAGCAACCAATTTATGCAACTTGTTCTCTGCTTATTTACCATATTTGAATGACTATAAAGTGAGAGCTTAAAACTGTTTTCAGAGTTATTACTTTGTAAGTGATTATATGAGATACTGTTTCTAGAGTGGGAAAAAAAAAGGGAGAAAACTTCTTGGTAATCAGTGCCTGGGCTGGAAGCAAACTCAGAATGTAAAGATAAATCTTGGAGCGTCTCAAAAATGTTGTGTGGTTAACTCAGAGTAAAGTCTGTCAGGAACTGTGGAACTAATTTCTAATCTTCAAAGGACAAACTTCATTCAGCAGGGCTTCAGAGGTTGCTCTTAAAATTATACAAATTTACAGGCCATGGTGGCCTAAGCACAGAATAGCCTACTTTAGACAGCTCTACTCTTCCTGAAAAAAGTATATATATTTATACAAAAACAAAGAACCAAAATATCACCAGTAAATTTTATAAAATAAAATCCAAATTTTATTAAGGATATGAAATTACATTATATTTCAAATTTCTAGAATGGAATTGAACCATTTTTGAACTGAAAAATGGCACAAGTGAACACTGAAACTCCAACTTTATTAAGAAAACAATTCTTCTGCAAACCACCTCCCCCTTATATAACAAGATGAAATAGTATCTACCTCTTCACTTTGGCAATAGCTATTCCCTAAAAGAATGAAAATAAAATAGTGGTTTTGCTACTTCATTAAGTTCAATAAAAAAAAATGGGATTCTATCTTTAGATAAAAAAATTTTAAAGTTCTGAAAAGGCTGTAAAGATGATGAGCTATGGATACAAAAACAACCAGTACAGAATGCCTAATCTAAGCAACCAAAATCATTCTGAAAATAGAGGGGAAAAAAGAATGTTTTTATGGCATTTTTTTCCTACAAACTATTGTAACTGGTTAAGGATTTCCAGTAGTTAATTAAAATCTCAGTAGTGAAATGAATTATACAAATAGAAAAATGTGTTCATATTTTCAGATCTTATTTAATACATACTTAAAAAGGAAATTATCACCTCTAATAATTAACCCAATGTAATTGTATTAAGAACAGAAACTCTTGGCCTTCCTCTGAGTTACTATCTGATTAGTTCACCCTCACAGTCAAAGCTTAAATTCACCACAAAAAACTAACAGTAATTAGCCTGAGGTATTTTAAGTGCAACTCGTCTCTCAAATTTAATGGCAAAATGTTTTTGTTTTTTGTTTTATTTCCACTTTAGTCCCATGATCTCTGTAATATTCACTACAATATGGTCATCTAAAATACCTCAAAAAAAAGAAAAGAAAAAGCACTCTTGGGGCTTGTGGAATAGCTGCTCATCTATCCACTTATACTCCAGCCACACAAAGATCTACAAGTGTTGCCTGTCCAGATCCAAAATAGAGGTACTTAACCTTTGTTTTCCAGTTTAAAAATTATCAATCCTTGGCATAAATAAGATGCTGACTATCATACTTGTGGTACACTAAACAGGTCCAAAATTTTTGAGCTTTTAATGAGACTGAGGAAACATTTCACAGAATTTAACTTAATATGCCTCAACACAACTGTGAGGTAGTTAAGTAAACAGTACTACCCATTTTTAACACATAGTAAACAGAAGCATGAGTAAGTGACCTACTCATACTTTAAGCAGTAAGAATTAGAATAAGCCAAGAGACTTGTGCCTTCTCTCTAGTTCTAACCCAAAGGAATGAAATTTAACTTTTTAATTCTCCTTTTAAAAAAATATTACACTTCATGTAAGGTTTTGTCTTTTCTTTTTTTAATACTTGCTTATTAGCAGATATAGTACCATCTCCCAAAACTGGCACTCTTTTCTTCAATAATATGGTAAACTGAGTACAAGCATTTTAAGCTAGGCCTCTGTCTCTACCTGAATTAATACAAAATTAAGACATTACCTTATGAGAACTAAAATTGTATTTGACATTTTTATTTTAAGTTGCAAAAACAAAAACAAGCGAACAAACAAACAACAAAAAAAACTCGAAATAGGCTTGTCAAATGATGTAAATTCATCCTTTCCAGGGGAGCAGAAGGTAGACCCTACACCACAAAGAAAAGATGCTTAGTTAATGGAGGGTAAGTTTAAAAGTACAGTTAAATAGTATGAAGCTAACTTCTGAAAATACTAGGTTTTATTCACTTCTTTGTGTCAACAAATATCTATACTATTATGTCATTAAAATACAAAAAAAAACATAATCAATCTGATAGTCATCAGATGTGGTCTTACTGGAAATTCTTAACCATATACTTATCTCATTGTTAAAAAAATACCAATAATGAATTGCCTCTTTTAGTATAAGTCACTGCATATCCGTAACAAAGTAATGAAAGGCACACCTAATGCGAGCAGACTTAATTCCATTCAACTACCAGCTGAAAAAATACTTTGGTTCTTTAGGAAGATGATTTGCAGAACAAGAAATTTGTTTCATTTACTAGTTCTGTTAATGTACATAAACCGTAATCTAATAGCTACATGACAAAAACGCTCCAAAAGAACCAAACTATGCAGCAATGAATGAACATGCTTGACAGAATTTTGTGCATTCAACATATCTGGCAGAAAAACGATATAGTTAAAATGCTAATTAGAACAAATTGGTCTTTAAAATCAGTTCCTTTCTTTTAAAAAAAACTACGGAGTCTACAAAGAAAATACAAAAACATAAGGCTGTAAGTAAATAATAGTTGTGTTTAGGCTATTACAGTGCAGTTATCCTCAAGGCCACACACATCCTGCTTCACTGTTGCTTGCACTCTGCTGGGTTTTGATCCTTCTGTTAAAGGAAAACAATAAGTCAATCTATCTTCTACCTACTTTATAGTGAATTTTCCAATAGTAACTCACTATCTTAATTATCATAGTACCTCAGTTCTCTCAACATTTTTGAAAATTAAAGAACAATGATGGCAAGTTATTTATTCAAACGTTAGTTATGTCACTGAAATGCTAAAACAAAGTCCAAACTTCTCCTTGTAGAATGAACTCCACAAAATGACATGTCAAACCATATCTTAAAAAAATTACTAAACAATGTTAGCCATATTAGCAATTACTTTTGACTTTTTGAAATCAGTTATTCTAAGACACGAATTCCATTTATACTTAGCTGTTAAGGGTAATTCATACCTGTTAGAATATGTGATTTTAAATTACCCTCTTACTTGCTCATTAGGTTAAAATATCTTCTGGATAGTTGACAGCATTTAGCAAATGAATGAAAATATTCAAGAAAAACCAGAAGCTTCAAATGAATCCTAATAATTTACTATGTATTTTGTGGGAGATAAAGGCCTTTACTAACCCTTATATAAAAAATTCCCAGGAATTATGGACTAGGACCCCCTGGGAGTGAACACCAGAGGTGGTTGAGAGAATCTAACAAACAGCACTGCCCCCCCGTCCTGAGCAATACTGCATTCCTATCTTTTAAAAAGTGGCCTTTCTTCATACGCTTTCCTCTGGAAGAAAAAGAACCTAAGAACACAGCAATACAGTTTTTAAAATGCTCAAAGACTAGTAATAATGCCCAAGATAATGTGACATTAAAATAGAATCCTAGGCTTTACTTTCCTGAAGCTAAGAAGGTCAGAACCAAAACAGAATATCTCTTAGGAAAGATGCACTGAAATAATGTGCAGTGATCAAATGCCAGTGGGGATTTAAAAAAAAAAATCAGTTATCCAGTTAATGGGTTATTAAAGAATTTAATGGGGGAAAGTAAACTTTAGCATTCAGAACATCCAACTCTTACTTAAGCCTGCCTTTCATTTATCAGAAAGTATCACTAATTTTGCTCACCTTCACGTCATAGTCTGGATCATTTTCCTCATCTCCTTCTTCTTCCCCTTCCTATATTAAAGTTCAAAATGCATCCATGAAGTAGGTACAGTAGGAAGAAATGGCTCATATTGTAGGGAGAATTTAATACAAGTTACTCTATAGGTCAACAGATTTTCATGATTACAGTTTGGTGATAACGCAATTTAATTTGAAAGCTTCTAATACGAAAATTTCTCAACACAACTCGAGACATCCAGACAGCTTTTATTGAAAAGATTTACTGCAGCCAACGTTGAAAAAGTTTACTGCAGCTTTTGACTTCTTCAAAGAGCTGATAACCCTGCAGCAGAACAGAATTATTTGAAATAAAAAAAATGTTGCTGAGTTTTGCAATTTATTTATTGAAACCTTATACATACATTGTTTGGCTGTAGAATTCTAAAATTATGTTTTTTTCCAAAAACGTTTTTATCCCGTATGACAGAATAATGATTATAACATGGAATATGTAAGTCATGCAATCTGCTTCTCAATGTGTTAAACAGATCATTATTTGCTCATTTGGTAAACATTACCTCATCTGCTTCTTCACCTTCTTCATCATACTAAAAAAGGGGGAAAAAAAGATGAACTTTGAGTGTAATGCATCTTTAAGAATGACATTATTAACATCCATAATTGTAACCATTAATAGCTAAAAAGAGAAAAAAATATTTTCCCCTAAGGTGACCTTAAAATAACACAAGTACAGTAATCTCAGGAGTCATTCAGCTCAGTGCCACATCTACACCTGACAATTGAAAATTAAACAACAGTACAATCATGTAAACAAGTGTGATCAATTATTACTATAAACATTACTTGCCTGTACTTACAAATGGAATAGATTACACAATATGCACTTAAAGCCTATTCTAATGATTGCCATTTAATAAACATTGAGGGCCACCTAATTTTACCTTAATCATTACATAATATTCCCTTTGATAAAAATTCTATGCCTAGTAAGTGTTATCTAAAGTACTAAGAAACTTCCATAGTCTATTTGTCTATTTGTGTGGTCAAAAGCAAGAGCATAATAAAAATCGAAAACACTAATTCAGAGTAGTCTTCCTATTAGCAGAAAAATAAAAACTAAGTCCAAAGATCTGAAAGGAACCTACTTAAAACAAATCAGGAAAGCCATCTGCAGAAAATCCTGGTAGAATAATTCTGAATTATTCTGTGTTGCTTTTTAAAAAGTAAATCTATTTAATTCAACCACTCACCAATTCTGGCTACTATACCCTCATCAAATGATTTCACTGACTGATTCAGACTCACTCACATCATCGTCATCATCTTCAATAGCTTCTCCAGTAAAGTATAACACTGATCTTGGAATTATACGCTCACGTAAAAAGTGACCAATTTCAAAATCTGCAGCAAGGATAGCTTCAGCGTCATCATCCTATTTATTTAGGAAAAATAAAAGCACAAAATTTGAGAACGACTTTTTTAATTTAGCGTATGTGAGACTCTTGGGTTTAAATCATATGGTAAAGGAAATAAGCTCTAAACTTCACTTTTTACTTTGTCATTTCACAGACAGAAATGGTTCTGACATTCAAAATTGCTGCCATATTTCCAATGAAAAAACAAATGCAGAAAGAAATCTAACCAGAATGCAGTTAGTGAATTTAGTAAATAATATAAATGACTTAATGCATTCTGCTTTCACTACAGGCTTGCAAAATTATATCCCTCATAGAAATATTTGCAAGTCTAAAAAAGAAAAGAAAATTATTAGCTTTTATGCCTGCTTTTCTCAGTGGAAGCACTATTAGCATTTTGAGTAAAATAAGTTGTCAGATCCATAAAGGGCTGCCTGCCCCATGCATCGCGGGCCTCAAAAAAACCAAATGCTACCAACAACCATTCCACTTCCCTCTTTCAAGAACCAATGCTTTCATTTCAAATATAGTAAAGAATTCAGTCAAGGAATAATTCAACTTACCAAATCTCCACTTTCAGGAACTGCAAAATTGAGAAAAGAAACTCGAATAAACAACTAGACAGAACTTACTAAAAAAATGACCAACAACATCCAAACTAAAGCACTATTTACCTTCAGGAGGGGCAAAAAAATTAAAGAAAGAGTCATTGGAAACGGTTTTAGTCACAGTGCGAACTGTTCCACGTCCCTTGTGTTTCTGCTTCTTCTTAATGGTTTTCAATGTGACATTCTTTCCTTTTTTCCAATCTATCTGGCACCTTCCAAAACCAAGTGTGAGAAAACGCTTATATCATAATTAGCACACTAAGATCAATTATGCTTTTAAGAATTACATGTTGTATTTATTGATATCAAAACTTATGAAAATTAGTTCGAATGCTTTCAGTAACGATACAAAGGGAAACTTTTTATTTTTAAACAGTTTTTCAAAGTAAATATATTTACAATTAACACAAAATCAGTATGGTAAATTTAAATACCCACTCCCTTCAGAAATAGATGTGTTGTAGTTTAAGGGTCAACGGGAATTCTAGAAAAATGGGTAAACTCTTCTCAGAAACCATTCTACTAAAACGCTTTGAGATACATACTACGTATATACTATGTAACAAGCACAACAGACTAGTAAATACTATTATAAATTATAAATCGTTAAAGTAAAACAAAATTAGATAAAATAACCTGTTAAAAGTAGTAAAATTGAACTCACCCTGTACAACCCATAATTTCTGGTCCATCAAAAGAAAAGGGATCAGAATCATCTGGTTCAGACCTCATCCTATATGTCTTTGTCAACACTTCATTTGTGAAATACTCATTGGGTTCAAAGTGAAACTCTAAGACAAAACTCTTAAAGAGGAAAAAAAAGTACAGAAATTGGTTAAATTTCTATGCCTTAAATTTTAATGCTTTAGTAAATCAAACTTACTCTCCAATTTTTATAAGTATGTATAAAATTCTGAGAATATTATTTCTACTCTGAAATACAATCTTGAGAATAACTGGGGGAGGGGAAGACAATAAGCCCCAAATTTTCTTCAAAGCAAAATGAGGCAGAAAATAAACTGAACATAGTTTTATTTACAACTCCTACTTTTTAACTTATACAATAAGCTAGGCACACCTAAATAAACTGACCAAATTCTCTTTCCCTCCCTACCCTTCCCACACACATACCCACCACCAAACCAAAACCAAACCAACTGCCATCGAGTCGATTCTGACTCATAACAACCTTATAGGACAGAGTAGAACTGCCTCATAGGGATTCCAAGACTGTAATCTTTATGGAGGCGACTGCCACACCTTTCTCCCGAGGAGGGGCTGGTGGGTTCGAATCACCGACCTTTGGGTTAGCAGCAGAGCGTTTAACCAGTGAGCCACCAGGGCTCCTATATCTGCCACAGAGGAGTCTTTTAAATATTAGACTAGAACCTAGGCTTGACAGAGAAAAAAACCAATCTAACCTTGCTGCATGCACTCTAACACTATAGCGTATAGTAGCTTAGCCCACAAATGACATAAGATTGGGAAAGGTTATTGCCTGAAAGAGGGAAATGGGGACTCTCTTAACAGGTTTGTTTTATGTAATTCCCAGACATATGCCTTTTAATACAGAGTATTTACTTTCTATGTTCCTTTGCCACTATATTTTTATCCACTTTAACCTAGTCTTGAAGTAATTAGGATTGACTATTTGAAAATAGTTTATGTTCAGAGGAAAAGAAATGGGAAAAGACTGCACTTCCAATTAGCGACATCCAGACATTTATTTACTATCACCAGTTTAAAGAACACCAATATCACTTTTAATTTTTTCCCACCCTCATCCCTCACTTTTAAATGTCACCTCTTTTCTAAAGTTCCATTTATATACCAGTAAGTATCTAGTGTTATAAAATTGAAAATACTTCCAAGTTCTTTTACCATGGGCTGGCCAGCATCTGAGAACTTCACTTTAATATCTTTCAAGTGCTTCAGAATAGGTTCATCATGTTCCTTCAAAATGAAAAATTAAATACTGCCTTATTAAGTGAGACATAACATATTTCATAGTGAAGTTTTATATAACAATTATGAACCCTAACTTACTCTCCAGATAATGGCTTATACTGAAACCAGTCTATATCGCAGTTCTGCCACTGTTAAGAAAAAGTGACTTAACAGAAAACTAAGAACTCCATCATTATACAAGATGAATAGGCTGAAAAGTGCAAAATCAAATCTAAATAAGCCATGTTTGTTTTAAAATGTTTCCTAGTTATAATTACTGCCTTTTCCATCTGTTTCTTGTTCCTTTCCTTCTGCCTGATCATTTTCTACTTTGTTAAAGTAGAAATGCAATAAACGGTCATTGTGTTTAGATCATCTCTCTTCCACCCACAAGGTAAGCACTACAAGTAGCTTAAGGAATGCTTCTGACTAGAAGAGGCAAAGTTTCCCAGAGAAGGTGACATTTGTGAAAGATCTTTCCAATGTCCTTTTCATATATAAATGTCTCCTGGAATAGTTTTTGTTTCAGAATGAAAAGGTCTTTTGGGGTAAAAAAAAAAATAAACTCCAAGATTCTCTCCTCCATCCTACCTCTAGTCTTAGAATGTAGAGGCACACAGTTACGAGAAAGTTAATGAGCAGGTGTCAATGTGACCACTTCATTATCTAATTTTTAAAAATGGATTTCAATTTATTTGATTATATTAATCAAAGTCGAAATTTTCCTTCTACAAATAATAGATGTTTCAAGAAAAGAAAAAAGCAATCATTCTATAATGGTAAAAGAAAACTAGCAGTCATAGCATTCTAAATTTCAAAGGTAAACTGGTATTTTTATGAATAAAATTACCTGAACCATATCACTGAGCAAGTCAACATTCTTAAAAACAGTCAACCAAAATTCAGGAATTCCTTTGGGGTCTTCTTTTTCTTCATCCTTTTTCTCATCTTCAACCTTGGCCTTTTCTTTCAGCTCCTCCTTATTAAATTACAGTATACATTATTGAATACCTAGATTAGATCCTCTTGATAAAATTTTGTACTCCTCTCAACTTACATGCAGTGTCAGAAGTTATAGAAATCAACAAACTCACGATCACCAATTAAAACTTTCAGCCATGAAAGTTCTAGTGTAATTATATAAACACTGCTGTCACTTATATCAAAAGTGCTGCTACCACTCCCCTCCAAAAAGAGAATCACTAGGGCCTACAGCTGTAGGGAAAAAGAGTTTTGGGGGCAGCGGGGGGAGACTTTACGAGAAATAAAGGTTTTAAGCCTAGTAAACAGGAAAAGCAAAAGAAATACAGGCTGTGTCCAATGCTTCAATCCTTGGTATTCTTAAATATAACAATATAACATTCTCTTTACTTTTAATATTCAACATCAAAATAGTAAGCAGCCGCAGGGTCATGTAATGAAGCACTGGATTTGTACCACAGCCCTGCCATTTTTTATCTGTGAGCAAGTCACTTAACTATAAGCCTCCATTTCTTCACTTGAAAAATTCCTTGCTTATCATCAAGAAGTTCAAAGGAGAAGTTTATATAAATCTACAAACTTTAAATATTATAAAAATATAAGGGAAAAATGAGTTTAGGTACAAGTGGTACCAGGTTGAACAACAGCTCACTTGTATTCACTATTCATCTTACAATCAAGAAAACACTTCCTAGGTAGAAGAGTACCACTGGTTTTATTATATTGCACCACAACATCAAACGCTAACAATAACTCAACAACTAAAATAAGTTGGTACTAACCGAAATTTCATCCTCCTCATCTGGTTTCCATTCACATTCTTCTTCTGTAGGTTCATAAATTGCATTGATGATCTCAAATCGCTAAAATGATTTAAAAGCTTGTGTGAAAACACTGGCACCCAAGCTAAAAACTAGTGACTTCTCATTAAAGAATCTTACAGAATTACTAATGCATGCTATAATTTCAAGTGCAGTTAGTTACTGAGAGTTTTCACAGGCACCTCTAGTTAACAACCGTTTCAATGAGAGGCCTAAACACTAAACCACCTACAAGTTAATAACCTACTTCTGATTTTAGAAAAATATACAAATATGTATTTCCAGAGTTTTACTGTCTTCCAGAATTTTAGATAAATAAGGTAGTAAAAAGCATTACCTTATCAAATAGAGGCTGATAGAGAACAGCATATTTTCTTTCAAGATCATGAACTTCCTCATAGAATTTGGCTTCTATCTGTGCACATTTAACTTGAAGGTTTTTAAGAGCATTCACTCGTCTTTTAACTACCCTAGGCAAGCTGAAAGGTTAGAAAGTACCAGTTACACAGCATCACAGCAAAACACACAAGTCACATATCTTTTATCACACTGGAAGCATTTTTAAAAGTCAGTAAATGATAGATCTTCCACTATTTGAAGCAAAACATGTACATACTCAATATAGAAAGCAATTAAAATTCAAGATAGATATAATTGTATGAACCTCTTGACTATAAAACATTTCAAAAGCAGAAATTTAACCAGGTAAATTGTTAATATGTAAACTGTATCACCAACCCTAACCCTTTCATTGTAATCAAGTTCAGTGTAGGACTTCACACTGCTGGCATCTCAATTGTAAAATGCAGTCTTCTTATGAAGTTAAAAAATCATAGACTGACCATCCTAACTCTGAGACTAACAATTATTACGTGAAATTTTTAAAAATGTATTTATTTACTCCACTTGTCACAGTTATTATTAGGTGAAACGGGAAGAGCATATGAATATTTGGAAAAGGAACAGTTTCCTATACCATTATTTGCTATTTTAGTCCCTATGTTTAATTTGGAAATTGACAGTATATTAAATAAGAATGTATTATTTTATCAAGAGGGGACATGAATTTTTTTAAAGTTTTATTGAGATGTAATTTATATCCCACAGAATCCATCTATGAGGCATGGATTTTTAAAAGATTATACATATATGGGTTATGAGCCTCTTGAAGAATGATTAAACCTATAAACCCTTTTACCACCCAGGGAAATGTCTGCACTCAAAATTTACCTAACTTCAGGGAATCTGTGAAACAGATCCAGAAACCAGGTTAAAAATTCCTGCCAAACACAGATTTTTATATATAAATAATTCTCTTACTAAACCATTGTTTTAGTTAAGATAACCAGAAACAAACACAATGACTCAAAAATACCAACTTTCTATTTCTTATAATTCAAAGTAAAAAGTTTAATGTTCTCTCAAGATGGTGAACTAGCATAAGCTGCTGGCCTCCCTACCTCTCACTCCAAAAAAAAAAAATCACTCCTAGAATAACTTTAGAACTGGGAAGGAAATTAGTATTTTCAGCACACAAACACACACCCACACACCATAAGCAACTTCTGGGTAACCACTGAAGGCTGTGAGGCTGTCTTTAACTGTTACGGGATGAGCTGCAACCTGGGATGGAGATGGCCAGAATAGGGAGCAGTGAGAGAAGAGATTCAAAGAAAGCTTTAAGTTCTGCTCTTGGCTTCACAACAATCACTGCCTGCCCGCTTTGCCTTTTGCAAGAGCCCAGTGCCAGTGTTCCTAGGATAACATGAAGGTAAAGTTGAGGAAAACTAGTATGAATTTGAGCCCTCAAGCACTCACTCCTTTAACCCCTCCAATCTAGTTACTTTAGATTACAATCAGGGGAGACTGCCTCCTCCCAAAGCTGATCAGAAAAACAGACCACAGTCTGACCTTCATTCCTCTTCCAATATTCATTACCAGAGTAACTGATATTCTCCCAGTGTACATGAGCTCAAAGTCCAAAATAAGTATACACTTGAGGAGTACAATTCCTATGAAAGAATGAAATACTTATCATTTCAAGCAGTTTATTACTAGACCAGGAATGTAAATATATTTAAAGAGATGAAGGGAGAGGTCCATGAGGTTGAAAAGCTTTCCCGGAAGGCAGCATGAAAGACAGGAAATATAAAAGAAAAGCTGAGAGAGATGGGTGACGAAAGTAGCAAGAGTTAACAGCAAAGGGCAGGGGGAGATATCCGAAGACCTGAGAATGATAAATCTCTCAGTTAAACATGAAAATCCTCACCTACCCCATAGTCATGTTAGTGATTTATGAGTATCAAGGACACAAAGAAAATTCTAAAGGTACTCAGTAAAAAATAGCACATAAATCTTCAAAAAAAAACTGAAACAAACTGACATAAGGCATTTTCCAGATATTTAAGAACGTTGCACTTACAATTTTATAGCTAGCCAAACTATTATTCATATATGAAAGCATAATAAAATATTTAATCAGGTATATTAGGCTTCAGGAGATATGTCTCATTACACTCATTAAGAATAACTTTGGAAGAAGTTAAAAAAAAATCCAAGAGAAGAAAAAAAAATAGAGGACCAGAGAAGTCAACAGGAGATAAATTTAGTTAGGTATTAGGTTATGAGCTGCTACCACAGTAACAAAAAGAATGCATTAATTTTGAAACCAGCAGAAGGCAACCTGATCTAGCCAATGGAAAGCAAATCGAAGAGAAAAACAAAGCACAACAAATAAAGAAAGACGGTAGCAACAAGTCCAAAAACAGTATCACTTTCAAGAAATGTAAAGAGATTAAACTTACTAATAAAGAAGCTAACATTCATACTAGAAGAAGATAAAAGGATGGAAAAAGCCATACCAAGTAAATAGAAACCAAAAGAAAGCTGAGGTAGCTATCTTAATATCAGACAAAATAGAATTTATGACCCAAAAAAAGCCATAAAATACAAAGAACATTATATACCAGTAAAATGGAACGATAGAGATATATATATACATCACAAACATCATATACCTAATACAGTCTCAAAAGGTATCAAGCCAGAACTGATAGAACTGCAGGGAGAAACAGATGAAATTAACTGGAAAAGTTTAACCAATCTTTCCCAGAAACTGCTACATCAAGCAGGCAATCAACCAATCAACCAGCAGAAATAAAGAGAACTTAAACTATACATTCAATAAGCTTGAGCTATAGATATAGTTTATTGGTCTTACTGCCCAATATTTACAGAACATTTACAAAAATAGACTATTCAGGCCATAAAAGGATACAGATTTTTAAAAATTCAAATGAAGTAAGCATTCAATTAATGGAACTGGCTAGAAATAAGAATAGGGCAAACCCAAATAAGGAAATATTAAGAATAAAACCAAAAATCAATTTAAAGAAACAGAAAATCAAAAGTCAGTTCTAAAAAACATTCATGGGATCGAGAAACATCTTGCTTGCAAGACTAATTAAAACACAAAACATAGAACATGATAAGGAAAGTAATAAGATTTTTAAAAATATCATCAATTATACACTAATCAATTTGAAACCCAGATAATACGCATACATTCTTAGAATATAAAATTACAAAATGGCATGAGAGACAACTTGAATAGACCAATCAGTATATTAAAAAATCGGGATGGTAGTCCACGACTCCCCAGGACTTCTAGTTCCCAAACTCCAAAGGTCCATGTAAATTTTTAAAAGAGTTCTACCAACCACTTAATAAACAGTCAATTCCTATCTTATCCAAGTTGTTCCAGAAAACAAAGTAACAGGAGCCCTGTTCATTTCATGATTCAGTTGAAATCTTGACTCCAAAATCAGTTAAAGATAGCATCATTACCCCCAAAAGCTTCTTTAAGTACACACACACACACACACACACACACACACACACACACACACACAGTCCCAGACTTAACAACAGGGTTCCATTTCGATGGCTCCATCATAAGTTGGTTCTGACGTAAGTCAAATACCTTTTTGTTTTAGTTTTCATCATTATTGCCTTTTTCATCAGTATCTTTATAAAGCTAATCTTTGAACATCTTCGAGTGAACATCAAAGAATGATAACATCAGCAAATTACATAGTATTTATTACTAATTATAACGTACAAAAAAAAAAAAAAACCCAGATGGTCCTATGTATGGTTCATAACTCAAATATGTCATAAGTCAAGGACTACCTGTATCTATGTGTGCATACATATGTACACAGCTCATTTCACTAAAATATTAGCCACGCAACTCAACAGTGCCAACAATAATACATCATGATTAAGCTTATTCCAGGAACACAAGGACAGTTCAATATGAGAAAATATCAAAATATATTTAATGGCTACTTAATAGATTCAAGGAAGAAACTGAAAAGACCATCTAAATTAATGCAGAAAAAAAGTCTGCTAAGAATGTAAATATACTGAATCTAATATGGAGAGAGATTCTATATCCACTCCCTCTAAGATTGGAAATAAGAGAAAGATGCATATTTTTTATAATACTTAAGACAGTATTGAAAGTCCCAGCCAAAGTTATACAGAAAGAAAATAAGTGGTGTAAGGTGGAAGATTAGGACTAAAACTGTCATTATTTACAGATAAGATCTTTTGCAGAGGAGGGGAGAGGGAGGACAGAATAAATTACTACAATATTAAGAGTCTAGCAAAGTTACTGGATACAAGATCAACTTAAAAAAAAAAAAAAAAAAAAAAACCAATAGCACTCTGCTCTACATCAGGAACAGCCAACCAGAAAAAATAAATAAGATACCGTTCACAATAGCAACACAACTAAATTATACAGAAATTAACAACCAAGAATAGACTCTTTGGAGAAAACTTAGAAACTATAATAAAAGACATAAAATATGAGCTGTATAAATGCAGATATGAATGAGACAATTTTTAAAAGATAGCAATTCTCTACCATGTTAATTCATAAAGTCAGTGTGATTTCTATCAAAATTACAGGGGTTTTTTTTTTGAGAACCCTGATAGTTTACTGTGAAACACGTGGAATAAAGATCTACATATGGTTTAAAAAAAACAGTTGTCAACTTATGGCAACCTCCTGTGTATCCATAGAGCTTTTCAACGGCTGAATTTTTGGAAGTAGATCGCCAGGCCTTTCTCCCCAGGTGCCTCTGGGTGGACTCCAACCTCCAACCTTTTGGTTAGCAGTTGAGCTTGCATTAATTGTTTGCACCACTACATATGGTTAGGTCAACCTTACAAGGTTGGGGTGGGGGGAGTGTCATGAAAGGAAGAGACTTTCCCTGCCAGACATTAAGATTAGTTATTTTGACAGTGACAAAAGAACAGACAAAAAGACCAATGAAAACAAAATAATGCTACTCAAACACAAATGCAGGTGTTTCTAAGAACTTGATATACAATAAAGGTGGTACTACAAATAAATGGGGGAAGAATGGATTATCTAGTGAGTAGTGTTATAAGAACTAACTCAATATAAGAAAAGTGGAACTGGATGCTTGCCTATATCAAATTCAAAGGTCGATGCTAGAAACATTAAAGACCTAACTATGAAAGGTAAAACTAGTCAATAAAAATGTAGAAGGGTTTCTGAACCAACTTCAAAAGCACAAGCCATAGGGTGAAAAATCTTAATTACAGAAAAATCAAAGATTTCTGTTTAATTGAGGATCCCATGGATAAAGTTAATAGAAATGACAGATTATTAATAGATCAATGACAGATTATTTACAATGTCTAAAATAAAGGACTGACATCTAAAATACCTAAGGACTCCGCAAAACAAGAAAAAGATAGTAACCCCAATAGGAAAATGGGCAAAGGGTACAAAGGGGCTCAAGTAGTACGAAGAGAAGCTCAAAACTCATTAGAAATCAGAAAACACTAATTAAACAAACTGAATTCGTTATTAGACTAGTAAACTATAAAGTCAGACAACGCCAATTGTCAGCAGGGACATAAGGATGAAGGATGCACTGGATAGAATTATTCGGGAGAACAAGTTGTAAGTACTTAAGGTCTGCATACCCTACTAGCAATCCTACTGCTGAGTAAATATCTCAAAGAAATTCTTACAGTTCCTTAAAAGGACATGCACAAAGACGGCCACTGTAAATGGAATTTGTGGTGATGGAGGCTGGAGGAAATCTAGGTGTGTATCATACCAGATAATAAAACATGGTGGATGCATACCATGGAGAACCATGCAGCAGTCAGAAGCTACAGACTGGAAATACATATAGATAGCAATGTGGATGGATCTTAAAATTAGAGATGAGTGGGAAAAAAAAAATGTAAGCAGAGTAAGATATTTAGGCTATTATTAATGACTTACATCACTGATAAAGAAGAAATCTGTATTTCTTCTAGTTCTGTGCATTTCTTCTAACAAACCTCAGAAACGGTTAAGATCATTGTATTTCCTGGACTAGAACCAAACTAAACTTCAAAAGACCAACTCTGATTTGGTGGTACTTAGGAAAGTTTTACACTCCCAGTAATCTTATACTAAATACTAATGGACGTTAGCTTTCCACTACTGCATGTAAGTCCTAAATGGTTTAAAAAAAAAACAGATACACCTGCAAAGGTGACTACAGAAAGATAAATAAAGACTATGGAAAAGAAGAACTTGTACCTTTCAATGTATCCTGCTGGTGTTTCTACCAGACCATCAAGTCTTTCTTGAAGGGCTGCAAGAATCTGAGGATTTTGCATCATCTGAACAGTTAGCTGACGCGCTTTAAAAAAAAAGGGGGGGGCATCGAAAGAAGGATTTTATGAAAATGTTTTATGCTATTTTAATAGGATAATCCAATCATGAGGTTTTCCTGATTTGCCCATAAATCACTGGTGTAATAAATAGAGATGGGCAGCAAGCTAAAGAAAACACACTCTAGGAAAATCCAATGTTCAGGAAAAGTTCAGATACCTATGATTCTAATACACACCATTTCTCAGAGCCACTGCCACAACTACCATGAACTATATCTTTTCTTTTCCTAGTATTTGTTTCACCCACCTTGTATTTTGGGAAGCTCAAAGCTTCATCCAGATGCCTATCTAAAACTCGTAACAATCCTTTGAAGGCAGACAACATATATCAGAAAAATGCAATTACATGAGTTTTAAGTCTGGGAGAAAGATGGAGGAGTGAGTAGGCCTGAATGTATGTTTGATATTTGTGTAGTGTATTTGTGCGTATCTAAGTGGAGAAAATTAACAGTTGAGAGAGTCAAAGACTGTAACAGAAGCCAAACAAAATTTGGTGATTAATGGCTTCTAAAAACAATACCCAATCCAAATACAAGATAGATTTATGCAAAACAAAATGTTGCTGTCTTGTCTCCATTGATACAAGTATTACACAAAAATGCATTTATTTTCCCCCAAGTTATGCTTTTGAGGGCCAATTTACTTCCAACATTAATTCAATTACTAGATGATGTACAGCTCTGACAACCAGCATAAATTCAGAAATATCAATATTGGCCAAAGTCTCTTCACAGTTAACCTCCATCTAGTTTAAAAATGAAAAGCTGAATCATCTGGTACCTTAATATTCCTGGCCCTGATCTGCAGGGCATAACCTAAAGCAGTAAAATTTTCTAGTACCACCACCACCCTCTTTTAAATTATCTGCTTAAGTCAATTCTAAATGATTTTATCTACATTTAATAAGTGTTTAATTAGGGAAAAGAGACATATAACACTACATGTTTACTACATATTACATATTAAACATATTTTAAAGTCTAATTAGTCTCTCCTTTGTTTAGAAGTACCACCAAAAACAACCCACACCATCAAGTTTAACATTTTGAAATTCAGACAAAACTCATGGGCAGCTGTTTGACAAAGCTACACCTTGTCACTCCAGCAGTACATGCAATGACATTTCATGGGTCATTATATCCATACCCTCATCCTTACTACCACTCCATGTTACATACATACACAAACATAAACACACACACAGTCACTGAACTTGAGGTAGGAACCAGTGGGTAAAGCAGAAAAGGGTCCAAAAAGAGAATGGTACTTATTACTACCCTCTAGAGGACATGTGCCAGCAATCACTGGCTCCTGGAGTAATTTAAAATAATACCTTTGATTTTTGTTTCTTCACCAGTTTCTTCTTCTTCTACTTCTTCAACATCATCCAAATCTTGATCAAGTTCAGACTGTTCTTTGCTATAATATCATAGCATCACACCAAGGTTCAAATGTACCAATTACGAAAATAAATATACAGAAAAACAAATTCATTTTCTAGATTAATATGCCTCTTTCAAAGATACAAAACAGGAAATTAAGAAGGTAATTCAGTTTTCTTTCTAACTTCATATGTAAACAATTACAAATTGGAAGTTCTAAAAACTTTCATTTACAAGCATACGGTTAAATATAAAGTTTATACTTCAAGCTTGAAAACTGTAGTTTGACAGATTTTTGTTCAGGGAATATGATGTCAGGAAGTGTGTGCTTTCTACCCAATATCCAATGAGTCCCCTCTTCCTCCTAAGTAACAATAACAGTACCCTGATCTTATATAAGATAGCAACCCAAACTAAATGTCTACATTTCCCAGCCTGCCTTTCAGCTAGATACGGCTATGTGACTAAGTTTAGGGAGTTGAGATAAAAGAAGGAGTAGTATAGAACTTAGAAGAAGCCTTCTTCTAGGGTGGTAACCAGCTAAGAAGCTTCTTTGAGCTTCCTCCCTTTCTCCTATCTAAGGATGGCTAGCAGCCACGGTGGACCATTAGGCAACCTAAAGAAATGAAAGCTACCAGCTAAAGATGAAGGAGTCTGAAGCGGGGGGGCGGGGGGGCCTAGATCCTTGATGGCTGTGGAGCAACCATTCCAGCCTATACTCAACACCTTCAGACTTTCTTCCTTTTTCTTTACTTCACCGTTGAGGAGGAAAAGTAGTAACATTTAAGAAGACCTCTGAGTCTATCTCAGGTTTCAAGTCAGGAGGATGACACCATTGAGAGAGAAGGTAAAAAGTAATTAATAGATGACATTCTTCCCATTTCACCTTAAAAATCAAGTTTTTGAACTTAAGATTACAACTAGCACAAAAAAAGGAGGATTAAGTATATGTAAGTCATTGTACAGGGCCATCATAGAATTCCTTGTGTGACTTCATTTTAACATCTGGATTACAGATATTGTTGCTTTCATATCTACAAACAACATTTGAAAAGTTAATTTTCATGTAGAGACAGATACTAACTGGTTATTACAAAAAACGTTAACTGTATTATGCTAGCAAAACTCCCTATTAAACTGAGGGAAAAAATTCAGCCTTCCCATCCAAAACAATAGAGATTATTTGAGTATCTTTGACTTAGTATAAACTTAAGTGCATGCATACTTAGAGTTAAGAGCCACTGGCTAAGGACAACATGGAGCTGGCTCTTCCTCCACTGTCACTTTACTCAATCATTTACTGAACATATAAATCTTAAGGCTTTAAAACAAGGATCCACCAACTATATTCCATGGCTATATCCGGCTCACTGTTTTTGTAAATAAAGTTTTATTGGAACATAGTTGCACTAATTCAGTTACATATTATCTATGACTATTTTCATCACTACAACAGCAGAGATGAACAGTTATGACAAGGACCACATGACCCAAAATCACTAAATTTTTTTAAGTAAAAAATGAGGGTTCCAGCTTAAGATGGCAGATTGTACATACTCATCTTCCAAAAGCCCAACTTATAATAAACGGGTTTTTTAATGAACCACACTAAAGAACAAGGAGACAAGAGCAGCACAATTTTGGAAACTGAAAAAACAGACAAGTGGTAATCAACTTCATTGACAGAGGTGAATTCTAAGTCCACAGTGGAGAAAGCTGAGAACCAGCCCATTTATAAACTCAGAATCTTAAAAAGGGCAAGAACTGGCAGCATCAAATATACTTCTAGAAGCAGGGCTATGGAATGAGATGGTTAAAATAGGGAGGACTAAGCATAAACTGATAAGCAGTTAAATCCTTAGCTCCTCTTCCTCCACTCTGCAAAACGTATAGCAGCTTCTTCTCTGGAGAAGGTAAAACTGAGGACTCAGACGGCGGACCACACACAGTTAAAAGAGTATTTAAGCTATAGGATTGGCTGTATTCATATTAGAATGCTGAATGCAGGGACCCCTCCCCCCAGCCTTCTTCTCCCAGATCTTTACCCAGAAAATCTCTTCACTGAAGTATCTGACCAGCTCAGAAAGAAATATTCTGACACTAGAAGTTCTTGTAACAAATGCCCAGCCTGATGACCGTATATATGAAAACCCCAAACTGACAAGCTCCCCATCCCCAAGCACTCAAATTTCCCAATCAACTTTTTCTTAAACACCCAACAACTGCTCCATGACCAGCCAATCTTAATGAGCAGACAACCAACTATTGCCTCATATTTGAGGAAGGTATCTTACACTGAGATCGCAAAGGGGGGAAATAAAAATTTAAGAGTTAACAGACTACACAGGCAGAAGAAACATCCACAAAAAAGATATTACATCAATAAGACAAGAACAGGATGGTATAAAAACAGGTACATTCAGACAGCAAAGGAGCTCTTGGAAGCTACAGCATGATAGAAACTTTAAAACCCAATACAATAGTTGAAAGATACAGTTTCTTCAATTTTGCCCAGAGAAGAGCAAAAAGAGAGAGCTGGAAAATAGAACAAAAGATAGAAGAGCAAAAAAGACAAAGATGGAAAATAGGACAAAAGATAATTAGAATACCAGTCCAACATATAATATCTGACTAACAGGAGTTCCAGAAAAAGGAAACAGAATAAGGAAATCAACAATAAGTCAAGACTATTTCCCAGAACTGAAAGCAGTGTAAGTTGCCAGAAATAAGGAGTCCACCACTGAATGCCTAAAACAATAGATAAAAACAGACACATCAATGTGAAAATTTCAGAACTCTGAAGTCAGAGAAGCTTCCAGAAATATATATTTTTTTAAATGTCACAAATGATTGAGAATTGACTTTCAACACAGCAATACTGGAGGCAAGGTGACAATGGAGCAATGTCTCCAAAATTCTGAAGAAAAATTACTTCCAAACTAGAATTCTATACTCAAACTATCATGAGGGTAAAATACAGACACACTTTCAGTCATGGTACACCTCAAAAATATTTACTTCCATTGCAACCTTTCAAGAAGGTACTAAAGAACCAAAACAGAAAACATGGGATATAACAAACAACAAAACCAAGACAGGAGAAGCAAAACGAAACCTAGGAAGACAAAGTAGATCCCACAACGACGGCTGTGTGACCAATGTTAAGCAGAAGAAGACCACTGAGTCTGAAGGCCATTATTACCAAAATATTTACTACCATGCTTCTCTTTTTATGATGAAGGCAGCATGCATAGATAGGTTGGCCCAGATATATGTACTCGGATGTGCTGACCTTGTGCTAAATAAATTTTTTCCTTGCCCCTCCATTCCTTGCTGTCTACAACAGCCATGGATAATATCACCCTTCCCACCCCTAAATGTTCTACTTTAACGTATTACCCAGGGGCAGATTACCCAATAAGCAAGCTACAAACGGGCTTACTTGTACTTCCTTACTAATCTGTAGTACACAATTTCACGTTTTTCACATCAAAGATGTAGTGAAACCCACATGAAACTGTACACTACAGACTAGCAAGTAAACACAATTAAGCCTGTGAGTACCTTGCTTACTGGTTAATCCACCCCTGCTACTACCCTTTTTGGCAGAATACTGTTAAAATTATAAGCAACAAATACAGTGCAGCTCATCTCATTTTCTCAATCACATTTCTGTAAGACATCCACCCACACTAGAACACTTTCAGATTCCAAGTTGGTTAAACCTATGTTTTTCAGGATATATGACCCTTGCCCAATGACTTCTACAAAAGAGGACTTGTGAAGCCTCAGGAAAGCTGAAACCAGCCTATGTATCTTTTGTTTTTTTGTTTTCCACCCTTGGAGTCTCCAACTAATAGTGGTAATACTGCCTTTTTCCTTACACAGTTAAGTTTGTGATTGCTGCTGAAATTTTCAAAATTAAACATTAAGAATTCATAGGTGGTAAAACTCTACACAGAAGCAAAGAATGAATTGGACAAAAGCCAGGACAGTGATTACACCTCTGGAAAGGTAGAGGAAGCAATTGAGAAGGGGAACAAGTATAAGAATATTCTTTTTTTTTTTTACTGATACACAACTGCTTTCTTATTCTTTAAACTGTGCATATACATTTTATACATTCACCTTGTATATGATACATTATACACATTTTTAGTAAAATCTTTGGGAAATACATATATGGTAAAAATGAATTCTGTAAGTACTTATGACCCATTATGGTGCTCAACACTTTCCTAAGAAAAAACAGTGATAAATGGTTTACTATATTTATGACAGTGACTACATATATTTTATCTTGGATACACTGTACCCAACTTTTATTAGAGTTAAGTACTAATCATTAGTTGCTACCATACATTTTTATAACACGTAATTCATACTGCTGTTAACTACATCATAGTACAAAATGATGTCAAATCCCTGAAAAAAAGAACCAACTATCTGTCACTTACTTGTCAATGTCTGCCATGTTGTAAGAACTCCAAGTATCTATGGAGAGAAATGTCAATGTTAAAATTATACGATTTATTTAAAACCATCAAAAACATTTGAAGCCAAAACTTTTTAAAACAATGCATCCCAAGAAAAAACATATACTCCCTCTGAAAAGCATCAGTGTTCCTTTAAAAAAAAAAAAAAAAAAAAAAAAACCACAAAACACTCGAAGACTACCTTAATCAATTCCGACTCATAGCAACCCTGAAGGATGGAGCAGAACTGCCCGATAGGGTTTCCAAGGAGCGGCTGGTGGATCTGAACTGCCAACTCTTCGGTTAGCAGCCGTAGCTCTTAACCACCGTGCCAGCAGGGCTTCATTTTTCACACAGGATATTGTTTAAAACAAGCAAGTTGCCACTAGGCCCTTAGGATGGATCCTATAAAGTCTGTCATAATAGCATTGTTTGTGAAGAATCTGATGTATGCTAAAATCATAGAAAAAAAGAAAAGGGTCCTTATTCGACTTCTTTTAACAACCATGAGTGGTCACTTTTTGCTTAAACTTTTACTTGATACCTCACAAAGCAAGCCTGCTTCATTTTTAACAGCATAACTTTTTATCAAATTCATGTTAGTAAGTTATAATCTGCCACCTACTGGATTTATACCCCGTTATTGTTAGCTGCTGTCAAGACGGCCCCATGCACAACTAAACAAAACGCTGCCTTGTCCCACACATTTCATCATGTAAAAAAACGACTGCCATGATCAGTTGCAGATTGGACCATTGTGATCCATAAAGTTTTAATTGGCTGATTTTCAGGTAGATCACAAGGCCTTTCTTCCTAGTCAATCTTAGCCTGGAAGCTCTGCTGAGATCTGTTCAGCATCATAACAACACACTAGCCTCCACTGACAAGTGGTGGCTGTGCATGAGGTACAATGGCCAGGAATCAAACCCAGGTCTCCTGCATGGAAGGCAAGAGTTCTACCACTGAATCAACACTCAGGTATGCCCCTTGATGATCTTTAAAAAAAGAAAAAAACTAATAATTTCTTTATTAAATGTCAATCCTTCAAACTATTTTATGACCGTTATCATAAAGTTCTGGATCCCAACCTATTCCAGGTAACTCCTTCCCTTCTCTTCAAATGTACCTCATGTCACATCACTGGTAACTGCCCACTCCCATCTCCCCAGCATACGCCATACATTGTCAAAATGCTCCTGGTCATCAGACATGAATAAATTTATTGTGAGAACCAAAGAGAGCACTTCCTAAGTTCTTTCTCACGAAAAGGTAAGTATTTCTTAATACTGCTTTTAGAAAGACAAAATTAAAATGTGTTATATTCAGACACAAAAATGACTGAATGCCACAGGTAATACACAGATAAAAAATCTAAACCAACTTAGAATTCCACATTAAAATCAAGTCTTCGTATTTTAAAAATTAAAATCTTAGTCTTTAACCCACAAAATGCTATGTGATGACTCACACCAAACATGCTTAACATGCTTATACTTAAAGAGTTAACAGAAAATGCTATTACTCTTACCTGTCAAGTACTAATATTTGGGGGAAGTATTATTAAATTATTAAAGAAATATTTCTTCCAAATGTATCCTAATCTACTTTAAATATTGTTTGTTTTAAAGAATTCCTAACAGCACTGAGTTTTTTCTGCTGATGAGTAGTCAGTATTAACAAAATGTTTAGCAAATAATTATAAAGAAATACCAATTCAAAATCAAGAAAAATGTTGAGTCTTAGTCACCAGAGAAATTCAAGTGGGATTCCAGCTTCTATCAAATTCACAAGGATTTTCTTTTAACACAGGGAAAACGGTAGCGAAAGCGCATTCTTGAATACGGCTGGTGTTAAGAGCTGTTAAGAACAATTTGGCCATAGGTATGTCAAAAAGCCTTAAATATGACCGTGTTTTGGCCTTAGTTATTCACTTATGAGTATCTATTATGAAGAAAATTATAAAGAACCAAGGACCTCTGCTTTCCACATTTGCCTGGAAGGTTCTTCCAAAGTGTGGTTAAACAAGTCCTACAAACCCTTTGGCTCTTAGCTTACAATTTTTCTTCTTCAAAGATGCCTTCTTCAACCTGGCCATTCTGGCTAAATTGTATTTCTTGGTTGTACACACTCATACATAAAGCTCTTCCCATCACAGGGTGTCTCAAGGGTATAATTAGTGCCACTATTTCATTAAGGTCTGTCTCCCCTAACTGACCATACTACCAGGTTCATGACGACAAGGATCATATCTACTTTTGCCAAACATTGCATTGTATCCACCAGAGTAGCACACAAAAGCTTATATATGGCAGCTACAATTATTTATCACATCGAAATAAACTTAGCCCACCTCACCCCCATTAGAATGGCAATGATGAAAAAACAGAAAATAGGTGTTTGCGAGGTTATGAAGAAATGTAACTCTCATCCATTGCTGGTGGGAATATAAACAGTACAGCCACTGTGGAAAAGTTTGGCAGTTCCTTAAGAAGTTGAACAAAGAACTACCACTGACCCAGCAACCCCAATCCTAGGTATATGCCCAGAAGTGAAGGCAGAATGGCAAACAGAAACCTGTACAACAATGTTCATCACAGCACTTTTAACAATAGCCAAAGGGTGGAAACAATCGAAATGTCCATCAACAGAATGGATAAACACAGAGTGAATAAACAAACTATGGTATATACATACAATGGAATATTACTCAGCCACGAAGAGAAACGAAGTCCTAATGCATGCTACAGGGATGAACCTTGAAAATACTATGCTGAGTGACATCAGTCGTAAAAGGACAAATACTGTATTATCTCACTTACATGAAATAAGCAAATACTTGTTGCTGTTATTAGCTGCCAAGTTGATTCTGACTCATCAAGACCCCATGTGTTACAGAGTAGAACTGCTCTACAGGGTTTTGTCTTGGCTATAATCATAACAGAAGCAGATCACCAGGCTGCTAACCTAAAGGTTGGCAGTTCAAACCCGCTAGCCACTCCACGAGAGAAAGATGTAGCAGTGTGCTTCCGTAAAGATTTATAGCCGTGGAAACTATAGGGCAGTTCTACTCTGTCCTAAAGGGTTGCTATGAGTCACACTTAACAGTAACGGGTTTATTCTTTCCCTGGGTGGTTTCAAGCAGCCAACCTGTAGGTCAAGGGCAAACTGTTTACACCACCTAGGGACCTTAAGTAAATATATGGAAATCAAAAATTAGCAAATCAATCACTGAACTACTCATGTAGGAACTGTTGAACTGGCATTGTTTGCTGTGTATATTTTCACACACACAGACACAACTTAGCACTAACATAGAATATGCATACAATGTAAAGCTCTACAGTCAAATGAAACAGATCTGAGTTGATACAGAAAGAGCACCAAAGCAGGGTATAAGACGTACACCAATATCCCATTCGGATATTTTAAACATACGTGTATGTGTGTGGATATATACATAACATATACATGTACACACAACTTTCTTAAATTTCTGGAAAGATACATCAGAAACCTAACAGTGGTTACCCTGTAAGGAAGAAGAGATCAGGAGAAAATGAGAACTTATTTTTCATTCTTTATTATTTGATTTTTCCATTTACATGAGTTTTTAAAGTTAGAAACTTATTTAACAACATTTTGGAATTTGCTGGGTTGAGCGTAGAGTGCCTAATAAATTCAGCCATTGTCAAAGATATGAAAAACAAAAAGCCAAAAAGCTTTTAAATTCAAATATTTATAGTTTTTAACATTGTTACAGAATGGCTACACTGCTGTCAGTGACCAGTTTACAAGAATACAAGGTTGCTATGAGTCAGAAATCAACTGGACAGCACTGGGTTTGGTTGTTTTATTACAGTAGATTAGCTCAGGCAAACAACTCCTGAGTCTTATTTCACCATCTAAAAAAAGCAGATACAAAGTAATTATTCCCTCACTGGATTGCTTTTGCATGCGTGTGTTTTAGGTGAAAGTTACAGAGCAAGACAGGTTCCCATTCAACGATTCTTTTACAACTTGTTCCACAACACTGGTTACGTTTTTGACAATGTGTCAACATTCTCAGTATTTCTGTTCTTTTTGTTCCTGCTTCCGTTAATCTAGCTTTCCTGCCTCTCCTTAGCTTCTCATCTTTTAGGGTAAACATTGATGGTTTGGTCTCATATGGTTAATTTAAGAGAGCACAGTATTCACAGGTGATAAGGCCTTCAGTATGGATTACACCTCAACATAAAGAAAACAAAAATCCTCACAACTGACCAGTAAACAACATCATGATAAACAGAGAAAAGATTGACATTGTCAAGGATTTTATTTTACTTGGATCCACAATCAACACTCATGGAAGCAACAGTCAGAAAATCAAGTGACATACTGCACTGGGCAAATCTGCTGCAAAAGACCTCTATAAAGTGTTCAAAAGCAAAGATGTCACTTTGAGGACTTAGGTGCACCTGACTCAAGCCATTGTGTTTTCAATCCCCTCATATGCATGTGAAAGGTGGACAGCCAATAAGACTGAAGAAGAACAGATGCTTTTGAACTGTGGTATTGGTGAAGAATACTGCATATATTACAGACTGCTGAAAGAATGAACAAACCTATCTTGGAAGAAGTACAGCCAGAACGCTCTTTAGAAGTGAGGATGATGAAACTTCGTCTCACATACTTTGGACATGTTATCAGCAAGGATCAGTCTCTAGAGAAGGACATCATGCTTGGTAAAGCCAAGGATTAGCGAAAAAGACCCTCAATGAGACTGATCTGACACAGGAGCTGCAACAATAGGCTCACGCATAATGATTGTGGGGATGGCACAGGACAGGGCAGTGCTTCCTTCTGTTGTACATGGGGTCGCTGAGTCAGAACCAACTCAACGGCACCTAACAACAAATAATGTTTATAAGCCAATCTCTTATTTTAATGAAAGGTGACGGCCGGGAGTGGCTTCAATTCCAAATTCAAAGCGTATCTTCGAGCAATAGTCTCAGGGGTTCCTCTCGTCTGTATCAGTCCAGT